TTATTATAAGGCTCTAATAATTATAGTAAGTGATTAAGAATGCTGAAAGTCGCTTTTCGGAAGAAAAGTGCAGATACCAGTTCTGCTAGTCGGTATAAATGCGTACCGAAAAAGTATCCCAGAAAATTATAATAAGTGCATAATAATTACTAGAATAATATGTAGGACTTGTAAAACGAGTTTCAAGTCAAAATAATAAGAACTGGTGCCAAAACCTAGTACTGGCTATGAAAAACGCGTACCGGAAAGGTGCTCCAAAAATTATAAGAAAAATATAATAATTCTTGTAAAATTGAGTAGGTTAAGAATCCAAAGTTTGGGATTAAAATGCTAAGCGAAGCAATTAAAGTTAATACTGTGCGTTAATTGGTTAAGTGACTATATATATGTTAGTTGGGCACAAAACCCTATAGATTTCTTATGTCCAGCGTAAGTGTGGTGGCTGACCAGCTTTCATGCTACTGTTCCATTGCTTCTTCTCCTTGGTTGCAAGCCTTGAAGGATTTTCTCTTTGGTTTTTCTTCCTCTTTCTCTTGTAAACACTTGGTGTGAGTGAGAGTGACCTTGGGGGGTGAGTGGTCAGCTTGTTGCTGAGTTGTGGACTCTGTTTTGAGGTGTTCCTCGGGCTGAAATTCTGAGTTGGAAAGGAGGAGCCTTTATCTTGGTTGTTGAAGCTCCAAGTAGCTTCCTTGTGAAGAAAGAACTCTTCTTGTTGGTCCATTTTCGTTTGGTGTTCAAGTCAGAACCTTGGGAGCTGGTTGTGAGCTCCAAGAGCAGCCCTTTGCCTCTGCTTTGAACCTTTGGTGAGTTGTACAACCTTGATCATGGGTTTTTATGGGTTAAAGGTGATATCTTTGCATGTAAATGGGTTAAGCAAGTAACCAGCTGGTATGTAAACCTATGAGGGTATAAAAAATGCATGCTTTAACTTGTTTTAGTGTTAAAAATGGAACCTTGGAAGGATATCTTCGCGAAATGCAGAAACTGCATTCTGTCGCGAAATATCCGGATATCTGCTCGTAAAATATCCGGATATTGGATATCCGGATATGGGGATCTGGATACCCGGATATTAGGATCTGGATATCCGGATATTGGATATCAGGCTATTCCCCGAGGAATATCCGGATATTCTGGGTTTGCGAGGAACAGTAGCGTACTGTTCATCCAGAACTGATCTATGGGTTTGTGGACTCTAGATTGATGAAGTTGAACTTCTGTAAATACTTAACTAAGTCAGAATCAGTGGGATTAAGGGCTTATGGCTTGGTGAGAAGCCTTAAGACGTAAAACGTAATGAAAAGATGTTGTCTTTATGTTGTATACTTGTAGAGTATGATTGTTGATGTATTATTGGTCCATATCAGATTGTGATTCTGCTGTGTTTGGACTTTGAGCTGTGGACTCTTGGCTTTGGGTGTTAGCTTGCAAGGTAAGCTTTCGTGTCCTCGGTTTAGCCATATTGTGGTTCCACCATGTCCCATGGGGGTATGGTTATATGCATGTTGTGTTACATGCTTTGGATATTTTGAAATGCTTTTGAGCTGATATGTGCAATGGCTTATAATATGTATGTGTTGTTTCCACTTAGTCGGTAAGCCTGAGTATGTGGCGTCATACAAGAGGGTGAGTCCGTGGGTGGGTGCAAGTAGCGTCTTGCATATTGTGTGGGTAATAGACGTATTCCTGCATTTCTCTGATCAGTAGAATAGAATTGACACACATGACATGATTATCTGCTGCATTGCACTATTTTAGAACTGATGATGATAAACTGCTTTTGAACTTATATTGCACATGTAAGTGAGCTTGGGGTGGAAGATCCTTGAGGACCCCTTGTCTTCCTGAGATTTCTTGTTTAGAGATCTCACCCCACGTTTGAGGAATGCTTATTTCAGGTTCAGGTAGTATGGTGACTGATGCCTCTGGCGGCAGGAGGCAAGAGCTTAGCTGATGATTATTGCTGTTATATGTTATATGCTGGCATGACTGGATTGGATGCTGTTTATGTTTTCCGCCTTTATCTTTATGTTGCTGTTGAGTTGAGACTTATGTGGGCTTTGTTGCCTTATTTGGGTGAGCGTGGGAGTTGTCCATGCCACTATGTTGTTAGTACTTTTGAGTTGAGTTGTATAAACTGTTAGATGGTCTGGTCTACGTATTGTAGTTCCGTGACTAGAGACTCACACTTATGTTATTTAATCAATGAGGTGTTTCAGCTAGCTGTTTATTGCAATATATATACAGGCGATGTTTTGAAAATGGTTAAGTAATCAAGTTGGTAATGATTAATGACATCATAATTGAAAAGAAAAAGATATTCCGTATTTTTAATTAAGCGCAGCTTAATACGATAGTATGATAACATTACCGGATATACGGGGTGTTACATAAACGATAGATGTCATCCTGTAAGTCTGATATTATGAAAATATCAGATTGAGAAAACCTTTCCTTGAGGTCTTTCCATACATCATATGCTTTATCCATCCACAAAATGGATTGAGATATGGAACTTGTAATCGAACAATGCAGCCACGAAAGGACCATAGTATTGCATCTCTCCCAAACTAGAAAACGTGGATCTGTTGTGTCCGGTGCTAAAATTTTACCATTTACAAATGATACCTTGTTCTTTGAAATCAAGGCCATAGTCATTGCCCTGGCCCATCCATGGTAGTTCTTCCCGTTCATCAGATTAGATACAAGAACAAGTGACGGATTCTCACTTGGATGAAGGAAGTAGGGACTACCTGGATCTAACAAATCAATAAGACTGGTGTTCATAGGATTACCTTCCCTATGTGAATGAGTGCTTTCAGCTTCTTTCTCCATTGTAGGTCCAGAACTCTGATTCACCTTCTTGTTTACAGAGAAAAAATGAACAGATCTATCAGCATCAGAATCGAATCGACTTGCATGAGGAGAAAAACACAAAAAATCAAATCGAATCGACTTGCATGAGGAGGAAAACACAAAAAATCAAATAGCATTTATAAAAAATGACGTGTGAAATAGCAAAGCTTGATATATGTGAATAATTTTTTTCTCTTCTTGTTTATATTCTTTTATTTTTTAATGCATTTAAAAATTTCTTTAAAAATGTATATATATAAAATGTGCAAATATAAATAAAATTTTCTGGGTTCGCCGTTGCCATTAGTTATGGTCATAAGATTACTAAGTAAGAGTTATGTGCAGGTATGAAATTATACAGTTTAAGATAATAAGAAAAAAATAAGTTATGCATTATGTCAAGAAAAAGAAAAGTAAAAAAATCAATTTACATAGTTACATAGGTTAACAATGATATTTTGATGTAAGTTTCCGCTTAAGCATTTATTTTATATTGTGCTTTTGTACCATATTTATGTTACCTTATTATTCTACAAAACAATCTTAAGAAAAAAAAAATCCGAGCACAATCAAACTGACTTTAATTTACTAATTTTCTCTTCGGTTATCAATTCATTAACTCATGGAAAATTGAATTTATTTGCGGTTACAAGAGAGCATGATTGATTTTTGATTGTCAATTCATAATGCATGGTCAAAGGAAAAAATAAAGGAGGGAATCAATCAAATGATTATTTTTTTGTGATTATCATTTTTGTTTTAATGGTAGATTTTTTTTTTTTCTGCTGCCACTGAGATATAAAACAATGAGAGAGAAAATATAGAGGAATGAAAAAGAAAACAATGATGGGTCCATTCCTATTTTATGTCTCGATGTCAAAATTGTTTTTTTTTTTTGGAGTTACCCAACCTTAACTATCTCTTTGAGACGAGTTGACTCCCTCCGGTATTCCCACGAGCTTCGACTCTTGGCAGTTAAAATCGAAATTTTACCTAAAATCAGAAAAAAAAAAAAATCTAAAACGTATAATTATAACGTAAAAAAAAATCAGAAAAAATCGTAAAAACGTATAAGCGTTTGAAATTTTGATAAAATCGTTTTGATTAAAAAAAATCGTAAAATCGTAAAAATACAGATTTAAATCGAGATTTTAATTATCGTGAAAATGATAATTTTTTTTTAGTTCTCTTTTGATCACTAGCAAAAATCAAGGTGAATCAATCGAAAAAAAGGAAGAAAATTAAAAAAATAAAGCAAAATGGGGAAAATTTATAGGATGGCTTGGCAAATTAAAAAAAGGATACATTATAGTAAATTGGTTAATGAAGAAATCCCTTGTCCAATCAATCAAGAACAACAGAATGGATGAGGAAAAGAGCATATAAAGGAGACTTTTGATTTTTAATTTTGATTTAGGTTTAATTTTTGATTTTTTTAATTATTATAATTATTATGAAACTTGCATACCATTCTTTAATTTTCTAGTCTATTTTTGCCTAGAGCTTTGCATGGGAATTTCTTAATTTGAGCTAAAGGCATTGGGCTTCCACTACATACCAATTTTTTTGTCCCAATTTGTACATAAATTATCAAAGTGATTCCATTTAACAAAATATTCCTTTACTAACTATTTGACACTCAACTAGAGGAACAACTCATACATAATATATTAAAAAAAAGAAAGAAATTGCACCATAATATTCTCCTCCTAATAATTGAATCCATTTAATAATAATATCTAAAAGACAAAACAGAATAAACAACAAAATTTCCATCAATAATTATCACGCAACCCACGTAGAAAACCCCATGCTATTTCGGAACTAGTCTTATCCAAGTGCATATGCTCACGTTTCCTATGTTTTCTTCTCTCTGTCTCCCTCTCACTCCTTCACATCTTCTATTTTCTTCTCGTTATTCCTTTTCTTTCTCTCCGGCAATAGAAAATTTACCATTTTACCCTCGCCAGCACCGCCTTATTCTTGTCCTTTTTCTCTTTACTCTATTTTTAAGGTTTATTAACAACACACTGTTAAAAAAAAAAAAAAATTAAAAAATGAAAAGACTAACGTGTCCTTAACGAGTTCAACTACTTTTTCTCTCTTCTTCTCTCTCTGTGTGTGTGTGGGAGAAGCAAATTGAAATTGCCATCAAAGCCAACAGAAATTTGCTGACACACGTTGAAATCTCTCTGCACAGCCTTATTTACCCGCATTTATGCAATCTTCTCGCTCCATTTAACTCTTATCCCTTTTTTGCTCTATTTTTTTTTTTTTTTGGTATGAAGTTACTCGGTCCTTGTTTCATTGCGTTCTCACTCCTCGCTTTTCATTCTTCGTTTTCATGGAATATCCATTTCTCAGGTCCTCTTTCTATGCGTATTTCGCGTCGATTTTATTTATTTATTTATTTATTTTGGTAGAATTGTGTGAATGCATGCGGAGAGTAATGCTTATTTGTTTTATTTTTTTGGTGGAATTTGAAGCAGGTTCTAGTGGGAAATTTGGAGATTTTTGTGATAAGAAGGGCTTTGAGGGTGTAGTTTTTCTTCTTGATGGGGAAAGGTGACGATGGACGCTGCATTTTCCCTCTTACAAGTTTGCAAATTGGGTATGTTTTTTTTTTTTTTCCTTTAATGATGCAATGTGAAGTTTTGTTAAATTTTTTATCACATGGTAATGGGTGCTTTTTTGAAATTGGTGGTGGATCTAATTGATTTATTTATTGGTGAAAGACTTGGATTTTATTTAATGATGCATGGCGGTTCCCCCTTTGTAAGTTAAAATTTTTGTCATCTTAAAATTAGTTTCGTTCGCAATGTTTGTTGTTGGTTCATTCATGAGGTTGGTGCAGTGTTGTGCGTCTTTTTTTTTTTTTTTTTTCTTTATAAATTTAATTATTTAGCTCTAAGTTTTTTCTTATGCTGCTTTGTCGCTACTATCCGCAAAAGGTAAGCATTTTGTTTTTCAATATTCTGAACTCTACTAGGTTTTGATCTGCATTGAACGAAGGCAGTTGAAAAATTATGAATTAAAGGTTGTTTTCTGGTTTCTTGTTGACAAAGGAATTGAGAGTGCTCTATGTTTTTGCAAGATGCAATGTGGGTGACCTTGTTCAATTTGGTATTTATTTAGTTTTGAGTTCTAGCTGCTTTCAGATTGTCAACTTGCAGGTCATATTTGCGCAGGAACTTTTCAATAAATTTCTTTGATAGTAACCAAAAAAAGTTTGTCTCAGTTGGTCGTTATCTACTGTATTTACATTGTTCAATAACACTGGGTTCGCAGTGTTGTTTTTTTGTGTTTCTGTATTTCTCATTCTGATCCAATTCATCTTTGTGATGCATGTTGCAGAGACTTGCAATCTTATTTTGCAGATCTTAGCCTTTTCCTTGCCAATGATAGTAAAAAAATGTATATTTTGGTCGACAACAGACCATGGTTGAGAGACCTTGGTTCACGGGGAGCACACATTTGGCAATTGATGGTTACCAAGGTTGCTAAACACACCATAAGTATTGGAAGTTATTTGCATTTAGTTTTTGTCCTAGAGTAAAAGTCATATCTTTTTTATTTATTGGCAGTCAAGGTTATCCCCTTTTGCAAACAGCAAAGCTCGAAGAGAGAGAAAAGAGGGGAAGGAGATTTGTTCTGAATCAAGCACAAGTAAACCAACGAAATTTATGAGATGGTTCTCATTGATTGAAGCAGTGATGCTATCAAGAAAGAAAGTTTTACTGCCTGTGAAAAACTTAAGGAATTCTTTGCAATTCAGCAGTGAATTGCATAGAACACTGTATGGCTTTATTGTATTTGAAGTTGCATGGAGCAGTGTTCGTGGTATCAACTACTTTAATGAGCTTCAGGTACTGGATCTATTTGACAATTGACACGCTTCTTGTTATTTTCACAGTTTACTTCTATACAGTCATTTATTAAGTTGTTTCATCTGTTTTGCAGACTGATACATCACTGGCTATCGAAGCTAAACTCATGAAAAGATGGGAATTTGACAGTATAGCTCAAGCTGTGAGCTGTATGTCTTCATGGTTCTCAGGAACACTATCTGAACAACTGCTTTTGAAAGAGCACCTGGATTCTGCCTCAGGTAGTAACTGGGATTCTCATTGTTGCTTCCATGCGAGTGTGCATAACACATCTGAAGTTAGGATATCCTTAATAACAAGCATCTAGTTGTTTTAAGCATTTGTATTTCATGTAAGTAGAAATAAACATATGTATGGAGAGATCCATGCATCTCTCTCTGCACACACACATCTTATATAAAATTGCTATATATGATTTATTTAACAATAAGTTTAGGTTGATAGGATCCTTATCTAGGGAGAGACGTTGTCATGTTTTGGTGTGTTATAAAGAATAGAAGATAAAGGGACAAGATAGACCACATCCCCCTGTAATCCCCCTCTAACCATCCACTTTTCCTTAGTTTTTTTTTTTTTTTTTGGGTGGGGTGGGGGAGGGTAGGAAGGGGTGGAATGCTGCGATTTTTATTTAAAATTTTTTAAATATATTATTTCTTCCTCCTCTTATACACACCGCGCTACACATAGGTGCTATATTGGATTTTTAAACTTATGACCCTTTTCCATTGCCGTTCCACCCTTTTTCATTCTTTTATAATCCATTGTAATTGTAGTTCTCAAATTTCCATTGAAGTGTTTACTGTTTCTTGCATATGATGGACTAAAGGTTGCAGTGATTCTTTAATTTCTGAATCAACATGAATTTTCAATAAACATTTCTTCTTTATCTGCAATTTTAACAGGGGAGATATTTTATGATGCTGGTGAACATTTTTCTGGGACTATTTCCATTGATGATGACGATAACATCTGCAATGATATTCTAGATGTTGAAGATGGTTTGGGTACCACTAATGGAGTATATTCTGATGATACTGAAGAGACGGCAGACATACTACACACACCTCCTCCTTCTGGACCTAATAAAAGAAGAAAATTAATGAATTGCTTTAGTTCTGGAGTTGAAGTTAATAGCTATTCAGCAGCTGAAATTGACAACTCATTGCATTATTCTCAGAGCTCTAACTGTACTTCTGATGATACAGTTGAAACCACTCAATATAGCGATGTTCTACTATTGTTTAGGTTTAATGATCATGATCTGCCATTTAAATTAAGGGAAGTTATAGTATCTGATTTGCGATTGCTTACTTTGTTAGAGGCTGGTCTTCCGTCTTGGGTCATCTTCCTTCAGTCATATCCAGTATTATGCAATCTTTATCGTCCTTGGATGTGCCCGCTTGCAAGACTGTTATATTTTCTGATCTCATTTGTCACTGTCCTCATTGGATTCTATGATTTATACAAAAATGTTCCAGTTCTTAAGGCAACTGCGTCTCGTATATGTGGGCCACTTTTGGATTGGATTGAAACTTGGGAGATGGTTTCAAGGGTGAAATACTTAGGGACAATGCTTTTTCTACATAACTTCCAGAAGGCTATTAGGTGGTTTCTTGCCTGTACCCATACTGCGCGATCATTCTTTTCAGTTCTTGTTCAACCTCTTGCTGAGTCACTAGTTGAGATCTTTGGATTTCTTCTCCCAAGCTTGAAACTTTTATTTGAATTAGTAGAAAGCATCATTTCTGTCATTTGGTTTGGGATTGAGACTTCTTTCAATCTAGTGGGAGATGTGCTGGAGCTTCTCTTTTCACCATTGTGGCTTGTTGTCACTGTTGTTTGGAGCATTGGTAGGTCATCATGTGTTTTAGGCTTCTGGTTCTGTCTGTTATTTGTTAAACTTATCCTTGTTTTTGCTAAACATAAATTGTCATTTGATATACAAGTTCTTCTACTGATTGCTCACATGTTCTTTTCTTCAATGTAATGCAGCTACTCGTATCTTATATCCTTTATTTTGGATTCTTTGGGAAATACTATATGTTCCTGTTCGTCTAGTCCTGGCGATATTCAATTTTGCAGCTTTCGTATGCTCATGTATTGGTAATGTACTTGGAGACACGTGGCAGTTTGTTAGTAGCATTTTCCAGTTGGTGTCATCTTCCGAGCCAACAGTCAGCTCCTATGAAGTTTCCATGTGGCGCTCTCTTTGGAATGACCTTTTTTCCCAGGTTGTAAGATCACACACACACACACACACACCACATATTGGATGTACGTGGTTTCGACAACAACAGTTATCCTGATATGGTATATTTTTATATTTTCTTTTCCAGATTTTCCGTGCTCTCAAGAGTATACTGTATGGGTTTGTTGCCTTTTTCACAGCCTGCAATAGGCATCGACTAAGGTATGTTTTTTTCCATTCTTGCATTGAAAGAGAATGAAGTGATATCATTTCATGTAAATGTTGGTTGTGTGATGGTTGAATTTCTGTATTATAGCTTAAAACACTGTTTTATATAATTTCTTGAGCAATTGTGCTGGCAATTTTAATCATATGGTCAATCTTATATTTAATGGTAAGGAATTGACAGTGAACTATCAATATTAGAGTGATGTGTACTAATCTAAATTTCAAGGAACACATTGTCTTTTTTGGTAGAATGATGAAAATTAGTGTTACAAATTAAGCCTATCATTGCTTTTAGGTGTAGAGATTTAGTTACAACGGGGCATGTACTTCATCTAAGTGTGAGAACTGTGGAATCCAAATCTATATGGTACACAGTTGCCAAAATTTCTAAATTGAAGAAAATATTGTGATTTATGAAGACCTATGTTCAATGGGGAAACAATGTGTTGGTTTTGAACTTGAGGACTCTGGAGGGCATCCTGATAATTATATAGGTTGTAGAGAGGACAGTATCTCCCTGGAGTTAAGATGGTACATTAATAGCCTGTTTGACCAAGTCACCTCCAACAAGTTTCTATGTTTCAGTTTCTACATTTCCGTTTTGCAGTCTCATTTTGTTAAGGGGTGTATGTTCACACATGAACTTTGATGGATAATCCATGTTTTTGGAGGAAGGACCCAAGCATGGAGTGATGATATTCTCGGCAACTGTCAGTTCATAGTACATGAATTCTAGTCTGAAACTTTCTTTGCACCATGTTGTTGAAATTCTCAAATATTTGGCCCACGATGACTTTTCTTTCATAAGGAATACCCATGTAACTCTAGCGTGGTTATCAATGAAAGTGATGAACCATCTAGAGCTTGGGTCCGACTTGGCACCGTGGATTAAGGAGAAAGGTTGGGATGTATATGGTTAAGTAGGGTAAGAATTTGGTGTATGTTTGCACATATAACACACTTCACACTAGAACATTGAAGGAATCTTGGGTTTTTATTGAATAATGAAGGAAACATTTGTTTCAAATACATAAAGTTGGGTGGCCTAATCTTTATTGCAACAACATTATAGAATTTCTGTTAGGAGAGGATGCTGCATAAGCATGAGCTCCTGATTTTTTCTTATACTCTATGATTCAGGATTTTGTTCCGTTCTTACTAGCATTCAAAACATGTAAAGGATTACCTTTTTTTGCTAGACTTTGTACCAATATTTGTTCTAACATTCTGCATTGTCTATTGATGTGGTTTCTGCATTAACTTCCAGAAATTCATCTAGGTAACATAGATCTGAAACTAAAACTTGATATTCCTATACATAATTTTTTATCTTGATATGCCTATTGCTATAAGGAAACGTGTGAAGTCTTACCAGTATTCCACTGGAAATTATTTGTCTTATGAGAATTTGTCATAGGGATACAAAGCCTTTGTCACTTCTCTTGATAGCGCATTCAAATAACTAGGGATATACACAAGGCACTTAAACAACCAGAATTGACAGCTACTGGGAGGAATGACACTTGGGAATTGTCTATACTGCCAAAATAAAAGAAATCAGTCGGGTGCAAGTGGGGATTTTTTAATCAAAATCAATACTCTAATGGGAGTGTGAACAAGTTAAAGCTCAGTTAGTTGCAAAAGGATTCACCCAATCCTACTAATATGAATATCTTCTATGCTGGCAGATATGTTGTTTGGCAATATCATAGTAGCTTTGATATGTGCTGAAATTAAGCATTTATGATAGTGTGCACTGTGCAGGAGTTTACATGAGCACTATTTTGTCTATAGAACAGGTGGATTGGAATTTCACTTTTATTTTTTGGATGACACTCCTTATGTAGTTTGAACTAAAATTGTGTCACTGGATGTTTGATTGGCTGTCGACAGTTGTGTGCTTCAAATGAAAATAATTATTACGAACACAAGTCATTCTGTAGAGTCTACCAATCAAGCAAATATAATCTGTCACTGACTTTAATTTGGGATGATCATATGCAGCATATACAATCATTTACAAGAGTTTATCCGAAGATTATATCATCAGTGCGGAAGATCGCGGCAAACAGATTTAAGAGACAGTAGAAAAACTTGTTTAACACTGGACGTGGTAAGAACTCTCAAACTAAGTAGAATGCTGTTTATTGTGGAGAATCTTATGCTAACTCTTGTACAATGAGCTTTGTGATTTTTCAAGATCATTGTTCCATGTTTATGTTGTATTTAGTCTTGAGGAAAATAATCTAAAGGAGGGAGAAAAACTCGCGGAATGATTTTAAAAATGGGATTGTTTAAAGCTTGCATAAAACAAATCAGTAACATGTCCCTTCTGGGAAATTTAGTTGCTTCTACCAGCATTGCTCCATATTGTAATAATTTATTTTAAAGAAATTAAAGATCTTCCGTTGTGTGCAAATATATTTGATGGCATTCTTTGGTACATACATACTGCATTGTTGCATGAAATAAGTTATCATTGAAGGTATTTGTTGATCGTTAAGCTCATTTATTGACTACAAATTCCAGGAAGAAGAAAAGAAGAAAGTTTAATTATATCAAGTCTTCTCAGAGACCCCTCTCTCTATTGCAAAACAACTTCCTAACATCAACCGATAGCACAGAAACGCGGTATTCTGGTGTGTCATTGCATTTTCAGCAAACTCCATATGATTACCCATAGGAATTTTTAGATTCTTTTTCTTTGTAACAAATTTTGCTTTTACCTTTTCCTCTTTAGCTCCCTAAGTTTCCGTCTATTATCTGATGATTTTCATAGTCGAAGTTATCATATGTATATACAGTGTGTACAGGAAACATGTAAATTTAGTCAAAGTTAAAAATTTCCTTCTATGTATATTCAAAGTTGAATAATTTATAATACATAAATTTTGTACAGTTTATAGACAAATTTGAAAACCACTTGTTTATTTATTGGGGAGGAAATCAGATATCGAAGATAAAGAGACGTGTATTAGAGCAATTGCTGTGCATTTCCAAGTTATATATTAAGAGACACGAATATCAGTTTCAATTTATGTGGCTAACACTCTAATTAGTTGCAGAGTTCTATAACTAAAAGATGCTTTCTCCTTCTGTGTTTTATTTATTTAACGGGCATGTGTACTTGTATTATTGAGTAACCCTGTTGCATACAATACCCAATGTTGACTTATTGTTATGTAATTAGTCATCCCTGAATAATAATTACATTAATTGTAAAGGTGACAAATCAGTAGTATAGCAGTAGCCTACTATAGTAGCCTTTTGCATGTGTATTAGTTTAGGAAGAAGCCATTTTTGTTGGAGTTCATCCAGAAGCATTGAATCAATAAGTCATTTGTTTTCTTCTGGTTATCGTTCTGTTCTGTCTTTCTTTGAATTTTGGAGCTTTGACTCCTATCATGTTGCTACACATTGACAATAACGAATAGACCAATTATAAGAGTGTGGGCTAAGAGGATAGCGAGGGCAAGAGGATCACAAGGGTCAAAGAAGCATTGAATGGGTTTGGTTGGGCGAGAGCTTTGGGAAGATTATATGAATAAGAGCCCTATCATAGCCGTTTGGTTGAGGAAATTTTTTTGGAATAATAGAGAAATATAATAGATAGAGAAATGATTGAAAAGTGAGATAGGTAGAAAAATATAAAAAAAAATTGTTTGGTGAAGAAAAATTTTACTGAAAAAATTAGGTAACTTTATGAAATCAACAGTGCATTAAAAGTGAGATAATCGGTTTTCCAAAAAATTCCACCTTCAAATTGGGTTTCTAAACAGTGCGGATATCTATGTTTCTCATAAATCCATACAAATTGCATAGATGAGTTTTTGGTGAAAATATGTTGAAACAAACATGGTGTTTCTAAAAGTCATACTTGAGAAACATAGATATCTCTTGAAAAGCTCCAAACCAAACACCACCTAAAGGAAGATTGCAAACTTTTAGAGGGTGAATTTCTAACGGAGTAATTAGCTTTTTGGCCATTTAGGAAATAATTAGTTTTAGGGTAAAGTGTGTGTCATTTTAAAGGATGTAAAATTGTGTCATTTTAAGAGAGAGAAAGAGATAGATAAAGGAGGAGAGAGAGTTGACAAAAAAAATAAAGGTGTGGGTCTCACTTCTCTGTGAGAGTGAAATGATATAAGTTGTGTCATTTAAAATGATAAACACTTTTTCCTTAGTTTTAAGCCTTTTAAGGTTATTTTTCAGCATTTGGTGTTATTATATTCAAAGGACTTGAAATACTAACATGTCTCTTGACTTTTAATATTATTAGGACTCATTGTGTAAGACTATAAATAGTCTCTTTGAGTTTAAAACTAATATAATGGCTAAATCTTGATTGGAATAGAAATCTTAGGAGTTCTCTTTTTAGTGTTCTTGGATAACCAATTTTGAATATCAAAGTCAAATTTGTGGCATTCAAATTATACTTAAGTTTTCGAAATCTGTTCTGGAAGATCTTTTGGTGACTGCATCTAATTCATTTGTAGGTTTTAAGATCGAATTCCCTTCTAATTCACATCAGATAGCCATAATAACAAATCTTTCTAGCAACTAATATTCAATGAAATCCATGTATCAAGCCAGAAACCCAACATTGCATGATGAGGAGTAGAAATTCAAACAGCATTTTCTAATAAGTAAATAAAGGGTACTTTATTGTGCGAATAGTTGTGCGGACTTCCTAGCACATGTCCCCTGTAGCCTAGATGATGGTCTGCTTATTCATCAGTCCCCTCCTCTTAATATGGAGTGGATGCTGGCTCACGACTGTGGGTCCTTAATTAGCTAGTTTTTCTTTGTGTGTTTTGGGCCTTTGCCCCTTATCTCTACTAAAAAAAAATAAAAAAAATAAAGGGTACTTGCTTGTAAAATCACAAGTATAACTCTACACCAATCTATTTTAGAGGAAAACGGACATCTTGCAGTCAGAAAAGGATAGAAAGCCATCACTTCATCGGAATTTAAAATCAAAAGAAAAGAAGGTAGCTCAACATCCCCAATTCAACGAGAAAAGAAAACAGCAAAATCATAGTATACAATCCACGAAATTTTTAAGTTAAGAAAACAGAAGCTGTCGCCACCTAGCGTCGTTGAAATCCTGAAACTAACAGCTTAAAGGTTGCAGTGGCTCAAATTTCCCAATTCATTTCTTCAAATCTTCCTCCCTAAGGGGAGGTGCTACGGTTGCAGTCCCCTTCCCTTCTCGACCATTCATTTTTTTTCTTAACATAATATTTTTGAGAAAAAAAAAGTGTATTAAACGTCTTTAAACTTTGACTAAAGAGGCAACATGACTTTAATTCGTCTCGTTAACTATTGTTTTAATAGATCCTTCCGTTAAACCTTTATTAAGATTTGAGAAAGGTAGTGAAATATATTATTGAATTGTGTATTACAACTGTGTAAGAGTTCTCTATTTAGCCATCACTGATCCCCGCACTCCGGATTAGTCCCATAGCCGGCTCAAAGAGTCGAAGCTCGTGAGGATACCGGAGGGAGCCAACTCGCCTCAAAGAGGTAATTAGGGTTGGGTAACTCCAAAAAAAAAAGAGTTCTCTATTTAAAAAGACTAAACGATTTAATAGGCTAAGCCCAAAGAAGATTTTAGAATGAATAAATAAATAACTAATTACAATTATTTAAAACACTCTCCCTCAAGCTGAGGAATAAATATTTATCATTCTCAACTTGCTTTCGTCAGAATATCAGCTAATTATTGTCAAGAAGGAATGTATGGAGTGGTGATCAACTGCTATCAAGCTTCTTTTTGTTGAAATGACGGTCTACCTCAATGTGCTTAGTCCGATCATGTTAAACTGGATTATGAGCTATACAAATGGCGGACTTATTATTACAAAGCAGCTTCATGGGTCCTTCACATCTTATTTTGAGATCATCAAGTATAATTCTCAACCACAATAATTCACAAATGCCTTGAGCCATAGCTCGAAATTCAGTCTCTGCACTTGACTTGAAAACCACATCCTGCTTCTTACTCCTCCATGTCACTAGGTTACCACAAAGAAACATACAATAACCAGTGGTAGATCGACGATCAGTTATAGATCCAGCATAATCAGCGTCACTAAAAACTTCTAAAGAAAGATTGCCATCTTGCCGGAATAACAGTCCTTTACCAGGAGTGGCTTTAAGATAATGAAGAATTCTCTCCACCGCCTGCGTGTGTTTTACCTTTGGATTATGCATAAACTGACTCACAATACTAACAACATAAGCTAGGTTTGGTCTAGTATGAGCCATATATGTCAGTCTCCTAACTAGCCGTTGATATTGTCCTTTATCAATTGGAGGACTATCCTCTTCATAACCCATCTTGTGATTCTGCTCAATAGGAGTACTAGAGGATTTACACCCAAGTTTTCCTGCTTATTTAAGAAGATCAAGATTTTCTCTGACTTATAAAAATTCCTTCCTTTGAATAAGCTACTTCTATCCTTAGGAAATATTTCAATCTCCCAAGGTCTTTAACTTCAAATTCAGAGGCTAGTTGTGCTTGTAGAACATGTCTCTCCACAATATCATCACCTATTATAATAATGTCATCGACATACACAAAGAGCACAGTGAGCTTCCCATCTTGGGAGTGCTTAAAGAAAAGTGTGTGATCTCCTTGACTTTGTTTGTATCCTACGGTAATCATAACCATACTAAACCTCCCAAACCAGGCACGAAGAGACTACTTCAATCCATAAAAGGCCTTCTTTAACCTATAAACTTTATTTTCTCCATCCATAGAGTCAAAACTAGGAGGGATCTCCATGTATATCTCTTCTTCTAACTCACCATTAAGAAAAACATTCTTCACATCAAATTGATTGATATCCCAGTTGTAATAGGAAGTAAGGGACATCAAGGCTCTCACAATATTTATCTTTGTAACTGGCGCAAAAGTTTCTTCATAATCAATGCCATAGATATGAGTGTAACCTTTGACGACTAACTAAACCTTATATTTCTCAAGAGTACCATCAGAATTATACTTTAGAGCATAAACCCATTTGCACCCTGCTGATTTCTTTCCATTAGGTCTATCAACAACCTCCCATATTTTATTTTTCTCCAAGGCATTCATCTCCTATTGCATGGCTTGAGCCCAATTCTCATCTTTTAATGCTTCATGTACTGATTTTGGGATTAAGATAGAATCTAGTGTTGAAATAAAGCTTTTATGCTGCACAAAAAGGTTAGTAGAAGAGACAAAATGAGAGATAGGATGCTGAGTACAAGAGAAATAAGATTTTTGGATACAAAATCTTTTTCCTTTCCTTAGGGAAATAGGTAAGTCATCAGAGGTATCAGAAGCAATAGGCAAATCATGAGAAGCAATATCAGAAGTAATAAGCAAGTCATTAGAGGCAATAATATTAGAACCAGAAACATGAGATTCAGGACTTACCAGTAGTTTAGACGATTGAGGTTGTTGGTGAGGCAGTATGTGTTGTTTCCTCCTCTGATATACTAGGAAAAGGTGTAGGAGTAAACAAGGACGATCCGGACTCAAAGAAGGAAGGGGACGAGTCTTCTGAAGAACTGCTCTCCCCCTGAAGACAAAGACCCAGGAAATAAGACTCAGATTCATGAAAGGTGACATCCATAGAAACAAAAAAATTTCAACTTGGAGGATGATAACACTTGTAGCCTTTTTTATCGGAGGCATAACCAAGGAAGACACACTTAAGAGCCCTAGGATCCAATTTACTGCGATGTTGTTTATGAATATGTATGAACATGGGCAAAGGCAACACACCCAAACACTCGTGGTGGAAAACTCTGCAAAA